AAAAAAATCACACTTCGTTTTATATGGAATCAGAAAAAAACTCGAATAGCCAAGACATTACTCAGAAATAAAAACAAAGTAGGAGGAATCACGCTACCAGACCTCAGACTATACTATAAATCGATAGTGATCAAAACAGCCTGGTACTGGCAAAAAAACAGAGAGGTAGATGGATAGAACAGAATAGACAACCAAGAGATGAACCCAGGTACTTACCGTCATATGATCTTTGACAAGCCAATGAAAAACTTTGAGTGGGGAAAAGACTCCCTATTTAACAAATGGTGCTGGGCAAACTGGCTGGCGACCTGTAGAAGACTGAAACTGGACCCACATCTTTCACCATTAACTAAGATAGACTCTCACTGGATTAGAGATTTAAACTTAAGACATGAAACTATAAAAATACTAGAAGAAAGGGTCGAGAAAACACTTGAAGAAATTGACCTGGGAGAATATTTTATGAGGAGGACCCCTGGGCAATTGAAGCAACATCAAAAATACACTGCTGAGACCTGATCAAACTAAAAAGCTTCTGCACATCCAAGTACACAGTAAGTAAAGCAAGCAGACAGCTCTCAGAATAGGAGAAAATATTTGCAGGTTATGTCTCTGACAAAGGTTTAATAACCAGGAGCCACAGAGAACTCAAGTGTATTAGCAAGAAGAGAACAAGTGATCCCATCTCAGGGTGGGCAAGGGACTTGAAGAGAAACTTCTCTGAAGAAGATAGGCGCATGGTCTACAGACAAATGAAAAAATGTTCATTATCTTTAATCATCAGAGAAATGCAAATCAAAACTACTTTGAGATATCATGTAACTCCAGTAAGATTAGCCCACATCACAAAATCCTAAAACCAGAGATGCTGGTGTGGTTGTGGAGAAAGGGAACACTTCTACACTGATGGTGAGAATGCAACCTGATACGTCCCTTTTGGAGAGATGTTTGGAGAACACTTAGAGAACTAAAAGTAGACCTGTCATTTGATTCTACAATTCCTCTACTAGGTATATATCCAGAAGACCAAAACTCACATTACAACAAAGATATTTGTACCAGAAGTTTATTGCAGCCCAATTCATAATTGCTAAATCATAGAAGAAGCCCAAGTGCCCATCAATCCAGGAATGGATCAATAAATTTTGGTATATGTATATCATGGAATATGATGCAGCCTTAAAAAAAAGATGGAGACTTTACCTCCTTCTTGTTTACATGGATGGAGCTGGAAAATGTTCTTCTTAGCAAAGTATCTTAAGAATGGAAGAAAAAGTATCCAGTGTATTCAGCCTTACTACGAAATTAGTTTATAGCTTTCAAAGCTATAGCCCAATGATAGTCCAAGAATTTGGGGAAAGAGGAGAAGGAGAGGAGGGGAGCGGGGAGGATGTATGGTGGGAGGGTGATTTGTGGGACCACACCTATGGTCCATCTTACAAGTGTACATGTGAATCTTTCTAAATGCAGTATATAAATGTCTTAACACAATAACTAAGAAAATGCCATGAAAATATTTCAAATTGTATATAAAACCAGCACACCATACTCCATCACTGCATTAATGTACACAGCTATGATTTAATAAAAAAAAAAGATAGAGTAAATCCTAATTTTAATTGAAGAGGAGGGAGTTATCACAGAAAACAAACTATCCTTTCTTTCATACTTCCTCTAATCTGCAGTAAACCTGATGACTTTACTTGGGTCTTGTTATTTAAACAAAATGCCTTGCCTAACTTTTCTTACAATTCAAATTATCCAAAGCTTAAAATATAATAATTTATCTTTGGTGAAATAAATTTTGGTTAGGAAACACAATGCTAAACACAACATTTCAAAATTGAAGAAGGAACTAGGGTTTGAAGAATCTAACAAAAAAAAAAAAACCATTTGATAAGAATAAAACATAAGGCTTGATGCCTATAGCACAGTGGTTACAGTGCCTGCCACAAACACTGAGGGTGGCGGGTTGAAACCTGGTCCAGGCCAGCTAAACAACTGCAACAAAAACATAGCCAGGTATTGTGGCAGGTGCCTGTAGTCCCAGCTACATGGAAGGCTGAGGCAGGAGAATCACTTGGGCCCAGGGGTTTGAGGTTGCTGTGAGCTGTGATGCCACAGCATTCTACCAAGGGTGACAAAGTGAGACTCTGTCTCAAAAAAAAAAAAAAAAACATAAGATGATAGAACAAGAGGTATATATTTTAATTAAGCCAGTTTATGTGGAAAAGATCTATTATAAAATGAAAAGGTATATTTAAAAATCTATAGCTTTGAGACACTTTATTAGATAGGCTATTTCCTTTTTATTTCCTTCTTTATTTAGTCTCTCCTGGGAACACTGTCACTTGAAAAGTTAATTTGTGTTGTCAAAAAAAATCCCAATTTATAGCAATGTAGTGACCAGTTTGCAACTCAAATGCTCTTAGTTATCTTGAATGGATGACTCTATCATTTGCTCTCATACAAAGACAATAAATGCTGCCAAGGAGATTACGATGAACTCAGATGCTTGCTGTCAGTATAGAATCATGTGTTATAGCTGAAATAATGGAGTCTTTAATATTGCTAACCACTTATTTGTGAATGGGTCAATGAGAAATATGCTGCCTTAGAGAGCTCACTCCACCTATCTCCTAAACACATACTTCATATATATGAATATGCACTCCTATCTTCCCTCTTGGGGATTAAATAATACATGCATTTCAGGGATTTTTTATCTGTGATACACTGCCAGTGACAATCTAAACAGAACAAAAAATGTGAAATTCTTATTGATTAAAAAACCCAGCAGCAAGCATATATAACCAATAAAACAGGAAAAATGGGTATCATACCTTTGAACCAGGTGGTGCTGTTAAGCCTAAAAAGGCATACACTGCATTATTTTCTCTGGCTTCAAAGAAGGCATCATAGTCCTTGATGAAAAGAATGTAAGAAAAATTAGCAACATGCAACTAACAAAGAAAAGACAACAAGAGATTTATTCAAAATGGACACACCAGAAACATAACTGCTGTGGCTGGAAACAAGATGAGAAAATGTAAAGTCAACTATGTGTCCTTATTATCTGGGTAGGATTTATATTTAACCAATGTATAGAAATCCTGCTAGGGTTTATTTTATAGGTAGGTCTTATTTTGGGGGAAACATGGTAACTGTGTGTATGTGTGTCTGACTCATTCATTTATCTCCTAATAGAAGTCAAAATACTTCAGCTGCTTAGTAGCTGCAGATGAAAAATGTATACAAATTTGGAGGTGGGGACAAAAAGACTAGGGTGGATTTGGGACTATCTTTTTCAATAAACAAAAGAACTTAAATTGTTTCCTCACCCCACGGTACTGGCTTTCATTGAAAATCTGAGGTGGAAGGGGGTATCCAGTAGCTGGTCGATGGTTTTCAGGTACATTTTCTCTCATCCACTTCCGATTTTCTTCATTTGCTGCAATATCTTTTTCTTCAAATCCTATTTTGTTGGCTTCTAAGAAACCAAGTACATCTTGCTGTTTCTTCTTAATCTAAGACCCAAAGGATAAATAAACAAATTACTTAGAAAATGGCTTTTTTGTTTTTATTTTTCAAATTCAACAAAAGTCAGTGCTTTTTAGCTAGCAGAAATAAACTCAGACACAGAGCAAAATTTTTGGTTTAGGAAGATATATGATTTTCCCTCTTTATTACTGTCTTGTTAAAGATGACTTATAAATGAGTTGAAGAGCTTTTAGCCCACAGGTCCTTTTATCCCACTGAAAATTTCAATTATCTAATGATGCAGCTGTAATACTAGTTGATGCATATCAGTAATCTAAAGAAATGCCATTAATTCAAAATCATGGGTAGTAGGAAGCTATGTTTTTTTCTGATTACCTACAAGTGTCTCTTAATCTCAGCCCTTATACTTAGTTTTTCCAAACAACTCTATTTTTCTTCTCATCTTAACAAGCATCATATAGTCTACAGAAATGAGTCTTGAGTAATTACACAAGGTTCAGAGTCACTTAAGTCTCAATTTCCATTGTTCAGAACAAAACTAAATACAAAGAAATAAGAGCTAGGCCTCTCTGTATCTTAAGTTTGGAATATATTTGTACCACTCAATAGTCCTTAACAGGTACTGCTAAGTTGTCTTTCAGATATGTGTATGCTACTTCAACTTGATTAATAGGAAGAAATAAAATATTTAATTTGTCTCTTTACCATACCTAGGAGAGAACTTTTAAAATGGTAAAATTAATACCCTTTAGTTAGGTTTCCCTTTGGATATGCATGTATTTTAGACTCTAAATCTGTACATCTATAGTAATTTACCCATACTTAAAACTATAATTTAACATTTCTGAGTGCAGGAGCACAACTAATAAGCAAGTTTCTTCATGAAGTCGCACTAAAAAGACACATGGGGCAGAAGCATAAAAAAAATAAAATAAAATGCACTTTTGCAAATAAGAATGAAAATGCAAAATATTCAAGTCCCCTCTAGGTTTATTCCTCCAAACACTCCTTCCACACTGGCCGGCATCCACAGAGGCTATATTTTTATCTTTCTAAGTTGCATGTGACTGTGGTCAAATAATTTTCTTCTTCATCATATAATCCCAGGAAAAATAATTTCAATTTCTTATAATAGAAATTGGAATTTTTAAAGGCTATTTATATTGGAATACTGAATACCTGCTTTAAAGATCAGTTTTAATCCAGCAAAATTTGGTACAAGGAAATTTTTTGAACTAGAATTCTATTTTCTTACTGGCTTATGAAATCAAAATTTCATTCCTAAATATAACATATAATCTGTTTTAAATTTTGAGGAAAATCAATAAAAAGTTATATCCAGTGGATTAATGCATTTGATGGAAGATTCAATTAAATAAGTGATTTTGAATATCCATTACATAGTAAGGAATTCAACCAACATGAAGTGTGTTAAGTAATTTGTTGATTATTAACATATTTACAAATTTGAACAGAAATAACAAGTGTCTCATTAATATGATATTTTTAGGAACCTAGCATTCCAACATATTTTCCTTTTTGAATGAAAGAATATAGCTAACACTCTAAGAACTATACATTACCCAGTCAGAATGTCATTAATCATATTTATGTAAGAAGACAAAAACAAGAGGACTTTTAAAATAAATGATTCTTTTGGGGTATCTTATTGAATGAGTGCTATGTTGAAAACACCATTCACTGTGCTAAGATGGTGGCCAGGCCTGGTATCATTGGTCATGATAATATGCCTCATTGAAGTTACCACCCTTCAGCTATCAGCTCTGGACCTCAAGCATTTCTCCCATGCTCTGAGATTGCTTAATGCCAAGTACATATGTTTCCTACAGTTTTCTACATCTTCATAAGGCTGAAGAGAATGCACCATAATCATACCTTACTAAGAGGTTCTTCTATGTCAACTATGAAAACTTGTTCAGATTTGAAACTTCAGGGAATGTAACAAAATTTTTTTTTCCAGATGATCATAAGTCCAAAATTTCACATATTAACTTTATTTCCAATAAAGGATATTTTATGTATAAAGAATGAATTGCCTTATATGACTACAGGCACATGTTCACTATAATACACCATAACAAGGTGGCATATGGGGATGCTAATTTCCTAATTTCCTTAATGGAATTTAAAATAGAGACACAGTGAATATATGAGACTGAAAACCATACATTCCTAGAACAAAAAGGAATGAGTGTCACAAGGGTTCATTAAATAATAAAATTTAAATTTTCTACATTAACCGTGACTTTGGATCTAAACAGTTACTGATAAACTTTTCAGCACACAAATGTATTTGCAAGTGGACAGTGGCAATGTCTAGGAATTTAAATCAATCTTTTCCAAAGAATAAGCCACACCTTTCATCTCTACCCAAAGAATGGCAAATCATTTCTACATATATGTCAGGGATTTGAGATTCAGAGAATTATTCTTTCTGAAGACATAGAGCAGGACCATTGAACAATTGTTGCCTGGAAACACCTGTCTTCTTGCAACAAGCCTCAGTAAGCTTCTTGTCTGTTATGCTGAGAAGTCAGGTTTCTTTTAAAGAAAAAAGACTTACATGGTTTCTGCTGTAGAAGGTGCCAGTGTGAATGCTGCAATTACCAAAGAAAAAACAAAACTTCACTAATAATACTACAAATAGGAAAACAAGAGATGTTTTCCATGAAAGTACCAACCTACCAGTAAACATTTAATCATGGTGGTGTTTTTGCTTTGTTTTATAGCCAATCTTTGACACATTTTCTTTACCGGCACTTAATAATCACAGACAGAAATTCTGACTACAATGCACAGAAATAAAAAATGATTGTCATAAATTGTACTTGATAATATTTCTTGTGTGCCTCTTAAGTGGCACCTAAATTACTAAGTTCTCTAAAAACATTTCAAGAAAAATAGCAATCCCTTCCCTTCTAGTTAGAAGGGTTAGACGTAGATATATTTAAAAGTTAAATTACAACAAGGTATTTAAAGAAGAAACTAAGACAACAATACAAGGTGAGAAGGGTCAGGTGAATGACAAAACCAATAACCACTTACTGTTACTAGCAATGCCACCTAAACTCAATAAGGACAGAACGAATGTTAGATTTTCCACCCATCTATATTCCATGCAATCTATAGTTTGGGTAAAAGGAATATGTGCTTGGTAAAGTTTATAACTGGCCAGTTGTAAAAAGTGAGTTCATAAAGGTGATAGCTTGTTGTACTTGAACAATGAAAGTACAATATTACAAAATAAATTTGTAAATTTTCAAACTGTATGCTCATAATTTCTCCTACTAAATTCTTATACACAAATGAAATCTACAAATGAATAAGTAATTGTGTGGATTTGTACTGTGTATTTCTAAAACAGGTTATAACTTGTGACCCAGTCAACTTCCTCAAGGAGAAATTCAGATACACATACCCACCTCTGGTTGGTTCTAGTTATTTCAAGTGTTTCTCTAGAAAGGACTACTCTGCTTTTCAGGAAAGTAATGAGTCTGCCTTTTCCTAGGCTGTGCCTAGGGATTTAACAGTGGGGAGGAGAAGGAGTGAACAAAAAGCATTTAAATCTGCCAGTCCAATCTTTTACTAGTTCCCTTAAAAATACATCTAAAAGGGCATGGATTTCAAAAGGGAAATCAAACCTTAAAACCCAGTTAATCTGTTTTGCAGTGGACCAGTGAAGCATTGCCACTGTGTAGTCCTTTCGTGTCCAAAGAGATTTGTGTGAATTTTTAAATAAATAATATTGTGGGTCCTTAAGTCACTGGCTTCCTCTAATGCACCATGCTATGCCTTTTTTTTTTATTACTTCCATTTTACAGATTAGAATGCTGAGACTTCAAGAAGTTAAGCAAACTTACCCAAAGTCACAAAGAAAGTGGGTGGCAAGGGTGAGATTCAAAAGTAGATATCCCTAACTCCAAATATTAAGTTTGTTCCACTGTATATTCCTCATAAAATTTTGTATGGGTTTTTTTCTTAACAGATATTCATACAAAGCAAACAACATGTTACAAAGAATAATATCACTTTTCAAGTGTTTTTGCTATATAACTTAATTCTAACTTCTACTTATGCATTGTGATTTTACATCTTTTATCATTCAAATGTGTATGTACATAATTTAAACAATCTTTACATTATTATCAATAAAAATGAATAGAATACTCAACTTTAGTACTAGGATCTTCTGCTGTTAGAAAAGGAATAGTGTTTGACACTGCCTAATTGTGTTAAGGGCTACCATACAGTCAAGAATGTAGTTACTGAATATACACTTAGCCTCAAGGCTACTATTTTTATCTTGATAGAAGTAAAATAAAATAAAAGGAAATTAGATGATCTCAAGAAACTTATAAACTATAATTATAGGATTATAAATTCCATGATCACAGATAAGTTTAATGATGGCATCTAACCATCCCTTAATCAAAGTCTGGCCTCTTTCTGCTACAGTAAAGTAGGTAGATTCGGACTGGGCTAAAAAGAAGAACCAGTGGGACACAGACCTCACTTTAGAGTATGTTAGCAATAGGCTGTACAATTCTATACATATTAAGTACCTATGAATTACACCACATGTAATCTTACTGTCCAGTATAATATAATATAAGAATTATTATTTATTAAGTTCCTCCTATGGGCCAGGCACTGTGCTAAAGTCTACATGCTTATTTTAATTATCCCAATAAACTTATGAGGCATTTGCTATTTTTTCATTCCAAATTCACAGATGAATAAATTAATGCTCAGATGGATTAAAAATTTTTCTTCAAATCACACTTGGCCCAGCTCTGTCAGAGTAAAAAAGCACCATTTAAATACTAATCATACCAAATAACAAAATAATATCCTACCATACATGTTGTCTCATGACAATTAGACTGTATGTCAACTTAATGAAGTGCTGTTTAGAATAGTTATGGCTCATGATACTTTTGCATCATCCTTAATCCCAAATCTTGGCCTAAGGTACGAATAAGAAATCCTGTTGTTTTATTTCAAGGGTATTATATGTAGAATAATTTTTCTTAAGTGAACCTTCTCTGTTTTCCCAGTCTGAGTTTTTGTGATAATGAAACATTCCAAAAGCAATAAGAGCCACTCAGAACATTTAAGATTTGGTAAGAAAAAGTTACTATGAAGAACCATTCATATAAATTACAATGACTTTACCAAAAAAAAAATGTATCTCAATTTGAAATGATTTTCATGTATTTGGACAAATAAAGTATGAAGTAAAGAACCTTCCAAAGTGCTTCCACACAAGTATCAGTGGTTTGTGAACCTAGGTTGTTACAGAAAATGAGTGCTAAGAGTGAAATAGGATAATAGGTTCTGTAGGCTGTTCTGGAAGCTTTGGAAGTACCCTTAAAGCAAAAGTCTTTCTTAAAAAAAAAATTACACTAACTGTTATAAGCAGGTACCAAAGCTAAATATTTGTGATGAGTACTAGTGCAACATATGTGAACCTTCTGTTCCAAATATTTCAGACTAAGGTTACACCAAAAATTTAAAAACAAACAAACCAATTAATTCCACCCTCCCCTCCCTACTCTAATCAGTATCATTAACAACCTAGTAAAGTGAGTCACTACATAGATTTTATTCTTTAGAACATTGCCATAAAGAATCAAGGGAATATGATGGATTATAATGATCATTAATATCCATAAAATGATGGTGATTTTATAGTGAGTAAAAATGTTCTCTAACTCACCACCTTCTCTATGCAACACATTTTGCCAGTAAGGAAACTTAATTGGACAATCCATGCCCTAGCTTCTAATTCTGGTCAGACAGATTCTCTAGCAAGCCTTCCCATATAAGGATAAGCAAAACTACAAATCCTCTAAGCAGGCTAATGTGAGTTCACAAGGAAGGCATATGAGAACCAAATATAGTAGCTAAATTCTCCAACTCACAATAGATAGCTTTTTATTAAAAAGAAAAAAAAAAAAAACCTGTCACCACGAACTCCAAACTATCAGTTCTTGATTCACAAGAAAAGCAATAAGCAATTAATCTGTTTGTATTAGTGTTAACTAGATGACAATATAAGCCAGTCTCCATTACCTCGGCTTTTTCTTTCTTTTCCTTTTCTATGGCAGGAAAGGCTGTCATGAAATGTGCTGCTAAATTGGATATGTACAAGAGCAGAGTGCTATATATGAATAAATAAATTAGTCCAATCTTTCTCTCTACAGAAAGAAATACAGATTCACCAACTGCTCCATGAGAAAAGCCTCTGACTTATTGTAGGGAAGGGAAGGCATAGTCCCACATAGTGACCAGGAAAAATATCGACAGACCTGACATTGTTTGGTATGAATGATTAAGTCCTGAGAAGATCTATTTCCTCGATTTGAACTCTAGGGAAGAAAAACATGCTGAGAGTAGGCCTCTTGGCCATAAAGAAAAGATAATCCCTCCTACTTCTCAATATCAAAAGCCCTGGATTAAGGGCCAGTAAAGATTGTGTCTTGCTTTTCAGTGTTCAGAGTTTCTATTAGCATTATCATATGCCTTGGCAATTCTGAAGGCTGTTAATTCTGTCCAAGTCAAATAAATCACAAGCATTTTAATAGCATGCACCAAGAGCCATGGAGATGTTTGTGTTCCCTGTTCCAGTAATTTCACTTCTGGATTGCTAGTTTAAGTAAATAATGAAAAAGAGGCAGAATTGTATACCTGAGGAGATTATGCAACATTTTGTTATGTCTTGTTATTATTGATCTGTTTTTTTTTTTCAGTAGTGGGAGTTTGAAAGTTGCCTTCATAGCCCACTATTTCAACATGGTTAAGTAAACATCTGGTGGTGTGACCAATTGACAGAATGCTATAAGGAAACTGTCCACTGTAAATTATGAAGCAACAAAGAAAAATGTTCACCATGTCAAAAGTGACAAAGGAAGTCCATTGAATAACTGTGAAAAACATAACTATGTGTAATTTTTAAAGACTTACTGGAATGCAAGCATAATTATTATGACTGTTCAAAGATAGCAGAAATGAGTAATTGGCACCTCACTCAAGAGACCAATTAAGCTATGTGGGGATCATGATATTATGGTGATTTTACCCCCACACTTTTCTAGTAGTGTTATATTACTTTACACAATTTTTAAAAATATGTTCACATATATTGAATTTTTACTAGAGGCATCGGGTATAGTGGAAAGACCATGGAGAGTGGAACGTGTGGCAGAAGTATTCTAATGTGGCCCCTACATGATCTGCACCTCCCAGTTCTCACTCCACTGTACAATCCCTTCCCCTTTAGTGTGTGCAGGACCTGTTTCTTGCTTCCAACCAGTAGAATATGGCAAAGGTGATGAGAAGGAACTCTAATGATAATATATTCTACAAGGCATTTTCTAGAAGACTCAGTAAATTATATGAGGCTTTTGTCTAGAACACTCCCATTAGAGTCTCTGACTATACAGAAGCAAGCTGCTATGAGTACTACAGCCTCAAGGAAATTAATTCTTCCAACAACCATGTAAGCTTGAAAACAGATTTTTCCTTCGTGAAGCCTTCAAGGAAAAGTCAGTACTAACTAACACCTTGATTATAGTCATGCAGAGAACACATCTAA